AATTATTTGTTGAAAATAAATGTATTTTGTTCATTATAATTAGTATTAGATTTTATTATTCTTAACTTGTTCCCAGCTGTTGGAAGAGATACTTGTATTACCCTTATTGGGGATAGTTCATGAAGTAATCCTTCAATATCGGAAATATCATTTTCCGCAGATTTAAAATAATGAACAAACCAATCCCCGGCACATTCCTGGCATACCTTACGAGTTGCGAGCAAAATGTTGGATAACATTTATAAACAGGAGGTAACAAAATCTACAAAGCATGAAAAAACGTGAGTGAAATACAGATAAGTTTGCGGGAGCTTATGTAGTTATGTTGACATTTTTCGATGCGTAGATGCTCTGCGGCATGTTCAACGCCTACTAGATATCCGAGAGCCACACCATCCTTCGCGCGACAGGATTGGTTTCATACGAATACGCTCTTACGCGGTTTAACATCTTATCTCTAGTCTTCGTAATTTACTCACATTTATCTAGGCATGTTACTTTTTGGAGAGCTTTTTATATTAAATATAACCAACCAGTAGGAGTAAGTAAGTCGAATATCAGTAAATGTAACAGTAGCAGGGATAACAGCACCGGAAACCCTACCAAACACACAGAACTCAAGTTGGCGTTGTGGGAATCTAATTTTGACAAGCCGTCGCCTCGTCGCCTCTTGTAGTACGCTGACCTGACTGCAAGTGAGAAAGACTTGTTTTTTTTTCACAGCACTAGATCCAGTTTGTCCTACTTTTTAGGCAGTTCCATCGCTATTGCCATCTGCTGTGGTTTCAGATATCGATCGTGTATCCAACCAACGCAAAATTCCCAAAATAAAAGCATTTCTTAGGAACGATGTTATAAACCCAATCAGATAAGCCAATGCGAATTGGACGTGATCTCTAGTAATTCAGTAGTCCAGTCAAATTAGAATACAATGATGAAAACAAAATGCAATCTGACCTAATGTGTATCTAACGAAGCTACAAAGTAATCGTAAACAGTGGTTGATTCGTGATCAACGCGTGATCGGTAGCCATGGCGCTCTGTCGGCCTCTTCCTGATTGGCTTGTAGCGACGAGCCTCCAGACAAAGTCGCACGGTTGCCACGCTCGGCGAGTTTTCGCCAGAGTGGTTGATCACATTCGCATGGATCACAAATCAATCTGTTGGTGCAATACGTGCAATAACTGTTGTAAAGGACATTATATAACAATAAATGGCATCACAAAGGTATATTCCAATTTGATCTGCAGCAAATTATGAACGGCATATACGGAGATGCGAAAACAAGCTCAAAAAGGTGAAGAAAATTTTTGTGCAATCTTTATAGTTAAATTTTTCCTAAGAGATAGCATCAGTGAGGGAATTTTTTTCTATTGTCTTATTTTTCACATTAATGCGATGTCGAGGTATGTGTCCCTATCGCAATTGAAAATAAGGTTTCGATAATCCTTCCATAAAGTTTCGATGAGTACATCTGAAATAACCTTGAGATATTCTTCAGGGAAATACAAAAATCTCCTTTTGTGTTTTTTTGTGCAGATTTATCTATTAAAATCCTATCCGCAATCTATTTTCCGTGCACACACCTTCAACCGAATGTATGCCATATAATGATATTACCGTTTCGAACTTTCACCAAGGTTAATAGGAACCATAACAGCTCCCTACCCTTCCCCCCTATAAGAATATCGATTTGTAGCCTCACATTTCAAGGTTAGACTTCTTGTAATGTTTCTGTTCAACATTCGGCGATTTCTGACAATTTTCCCAATAAAACATGATCATTGTGACATTAAGCCTGGCAACGCTGCATAGTAGAGGGAACTCTCAGCGTCACGTTGATGGTTCGTCACCACGCACAGGATTGTAATCAGTTACGGATACCCGTTTATGAGCGCGAACGTTTTATGCACGTCTTGACTTGATTTTTCTTGCGGAAATTTAATATTAGTCTAAAATGTCTGACACAGATACAGCTGATGAAGTGGTTGAAATCAGCTTAACGCCACCCAGAAAAAGGGCTAAAAAGCTTCATCTTAGCGCAGGTGAAAAACAAATTATTCTAAATATCTACAAGAACCAGATGCAAGAGAATAGTGGATTGGCTATAGAAAATATCGTATGTAAGGTTGCTGAAATTTCTGGAGTAGGTCGATCAAGTGTTTACAAAATCTTGAAGGAATATAGACAAAATCACTCACTATCTGAGCCAAAAACATATCCAGCGAGAAAAAAAATCATCGAAAAAATAGATGACTTTGAGAAAAGTGCCATTAGAAGAAAAGTACATCACTTTTTCTTCAGGAATGAAATACCTACAATAGATAAAATATTGAAGCAAGTGAATGATGATGAGGACCTGCCAAATTTTAAAAGATCTACGTTCCATAAGCTGTTGAAAGAACTAGACTTTCGATTTTTGAAAAGAGGAAGGAATAGTTTATTGATAGAAAAGGAGGAAATTGTTATCTGGAGGAGAGAATACCTTAGAAAAATTAGGCAATTCCGCGCTGAAGGAAGAAAAATTTATTATTTAGACGAAACATGGGTGAACGCGGGGCATACGCAGGGAAAGGTTTGGGTAGACAGATCTGTGAGGTCCTCAAGGCAGGCTTTTTTAGATGGCCTTTCGACGGGATTGAAAAATCCTGCAGGTAAGTTTCGAAGTATATGAACTTTTTTGGATGCAGATAATTCATTTTCTGATCGAATCAATGATTTGGAAGCTCCGAACTCAGTTTTGCTATCTCATCCAAGTTTCTGAGTATTTCCTTCACCCAAAAACTAATCTAAGACCCTATCCTACACTAACCTAAAAAGAGTAAGTTGCTTAATTTCGTCATTTAGTGCGCTCGCTGAGAAGTAAAATAACTAATTACTTTCAGGCAAGGGAAAACGCCTGATCATTTGCCACACAGGTAGAGTAGATGGATTTGTTCCTGAAGCATTGTGGGCATTTGAATCCAAAAAAACTGGAGACTATCACGAAGAAATGGATGGTAACTCATTTGAAAATTGGTTCAAAAAAATTTTGCCGACACTTGATGATAACGCAATTATTGTGATGAATAATGCCCCGTACCACTCCAGAAAATTGGAAAAAATTCCAACAATGGCCACCAAAAAGGCAGACATTCAACAGTGGCTTGTCTCAAAGAAGATCGACTTCGACCAAACAATGGTCAAAGCTGAGCTGATAAATATAGTCAAGCGACATAAGTATAAATATGATTTAAAAATTGTTGACGAAATGGCCAAAAACCAAAATAAAACGATTCTCAGGCTGCCTCCCTATCACTGCGAACTGAATCCTATCGAGTTGATTTGGGCCGACATCAAGCAATACGTGGCGTCAAATAACAGCACTTTTAAGTTTTCTGACCTTAAAAAACTGTTTGATGTTGCTGTCGATAGAATTACGCCAGCAAAATGGAGAACATATATTGACCATGTCCAAGAGAAGGTTGAAACCAAAATGTGGGATATGGACAATATCATTGACACCCAAGTTGAACCCCTTATAATTGACATCAACAATTCTGATGATTCAAGCTCCTCGGAATACAGCATATAAATCGATTGATACCATTAAGACTGGCAGTTTAACGGGCTTTTTGGCAAGACAGGTAAGTTCATTATAGACTGCAATCAAAGTGTAAGCTTCTAGTTATTAATGTGGAAATTCCAAATTTATAATTACACAAAATTAGGGTTAATTTAGGAGCTCCAAAGCATAATAGTGCCATTTTGACCTTCTTCCTATTTCTCATGTAAATTTTAATAGCAATCAAACTAACAAACTTTATGGAGTCTGTAATAAACTTTTGTACTACTACTACGTCTGTAGTTTCTATTTGCTCAAAAAAATTTGCTCTGCATTGTGAATAGAAGGTTGATTATAAATATTATTGGGTATATATGTAAGTTAATAATAAAATATGAACAATTTCAATTGAGATGGTCCACAAGTTTCTTTCGTGTGCGTTTTAGTAACATTTTGCTGAAATGGTGAATACAGAATTTTTTGCACTGATTCCTAATGTCGAAATATGATTAGAAAGGCGTGGTATATTCCTGATAATTTACTATGCTTTTGATAGAATTTACAGCAACACATATCTTGTACGACATTTTTTGATAGATCAGTCACAATAGCTTGATACGGCCCTGTAGCGTCTCCTACGGTTAAGTTCTTGATCACGTGCAATACGGGTGTATATGTTTGATTTTACTTTGTTTCTTCGATGGATACAGTTTAGAATGTCAGCTATTTGAATTTCGAACTTGAACTCCAAACAACCCTTAATGTTATTACGTATATGTCACATTTGAGTTAATTTTACTTCTCGCGCCTCTCCAAACATAATGCTCGTATATATAGGTAATATCGCACCCACCTCGTATGTGCATATCCCACCATTTATCTAGCAACGCTGCTATAACTCTAGATCGAAAAGACCAGCCATGCGGTCATACGAGCACAGGGTGCATTTACAGAACACCAATTCTTCTATGCCCGGGGTGAGTAGACTTACGTATCAATAAGTGACAAATTATGAGAAGAGTCAAGTTATGAAACTTTTTTTATAATTTAACAAAACTTTTTATTCAAAACCAATTTCAATCAGTTACAGACATTGTCTTACAATAAGTCTTTAACAAAACTATCAACTCCTAGTTTTTATTTAAACATTTATTAGTTTGTTCCTTTATATCTTATAAGTCTTCAATATTAGAAGCGCAATATTTGCATTAAAAAACATTAGATCACGTCTTACACGTTAGGAATGAGCCCATAACTTACAAGTTATGCATTGAATCCATTGTTCGCCTGGAACGCTATCGACGTAGGATTCAATGCACTCTAAACAAATCGTACTCTCGTCAGCTGAATCTACAGCATTACGTCATTCTCATCGACGGTGTCATCAGCAATCCCATCAACTTTATCTATTTTCCTTTGCCCTTTTCTTTTCCTTTGCTCTTCCCTTTTCCTTTTTCTATTCTGTCCTTTGTATCTGTTTTTTCTTCTTATATGTTTCTCTTTTGTTTTTCATATCTAAAAGACTCAGTTTTTCCGGGGTGTCGGGATATATAGTACTGTTACGTTTCCGAATATTTCTTCTATTTTCTAAAAGTGGTGCCGATTTTGGAAAGGGTCTTAGCTCTTCAAATGTTGCTGATGAAGTTGAGAAAAGGTTTAGATTGTATAAAGATGGGGGCACATTTGCTTCTGTAGAATGAACGTTTACTGGTGTTTTGAGGTTTTCTCTCAGTTCCGGTTCAAATACAGAATTGAATGTTTCGTCAAACAGAGAAGGTGACTCACATTCAGTCCTCAAAGATCTTGTAGGAGAGGGTGTTGTGGTAGTAATCTGGTCTGTATTTACAGATAAACATTGCGGTGCCAGAGAGTGAGTTTCAGTTATTGTATGGTGATCAGGAATTGGAACCTCTTCTACGATAGACAACCTGTTAGATGCATCGGAAGTCGATGGAACAGACACTGTGCTCACGTCACATGCTGAAGGATTATCACCGTCAGGGGAAGTGAGCCTATCTGTCACATAAGACCCTAAACTCGGAGTCAGGAAACATGTTTTCATTCAATGGTGAAATCCCGGATACTCTGAATCCTGACTGAATATTTTCAATTATAGCAGCCAATGGTAGTGACGTTTTAATCAGCTCCGGTATTTCATAAATTGTGATAGTCTTTCCCGGGTTACTAGCCAGCCAGTTGTCACATGCTCAGTTGAAATACTTTTTCAATGGTCCGTACACAGATCTGTCATGAGGTTGTAGCTTGTGACTACAATGAGGAGGGAATGCTAAAACTGTCACTCCATTAGTTTTAAAATAATCCAACGCTTTAATTGATAAGTGAGAGTCATGGTTATCCAACAACAGAAGTACAGTTTTTTCTTTACTAGGTTTAACATGTTTCACGAAATGTTTGGCGTACTTCATAAAGTTCTCTTCTTTCATCCAGCCAGACGGATTAGCATCACCTTCATATCCTTTAGGGCCACCTCTAACAAAATGGGACTTATACTGGACGCATGGGAATGCGAAAAACAGCTACTGCAACTGTCATCAGTGTACCCCTCTCAGCAGATGTCATCTTGACTAGGTTTTTAACACCACGTCGTGCTATTACTCTATTAGGTACTTGCACCGTTGTCATACCTGTTTCATCAACGTTCCAGATATCACCAGGGCTTAAATTCAAACGTTGGTAAACAGCAGTTAAATTAGCGAAGAACATACTGACGTTATGTTTGTTGAATGATGTAGCTCTTGATAGGCTTGTTGCTTGAGGTGTCCTTATGGATAAAGACGGATGACGTTTGAGAAACAAGCCTAATCAATCTTCGCCAGCTAACAATTTTGTTCTCCAAGAATCAGGCATAGCTTTGTTAGTTTTTATGGCGAACTGACATGCTAATTTTCGGGTCTCATATGGTGTCAATCCATAATAAATATCAGCGACTTTCTTTAAATAACTTGCGAAAGCTTCTTCTTCTTCTTCATCAGTGAAAACTTGCCTATTTTTAATATATCCCACTGAGTCCAAAGTTAATTCTGCTCTCGTCAAGTTCGGATTACGTTCCAATTTCTCCTTTCGTTTCGCCACATAACGATGTAATGTCTTATAGGGAATGTTATATTTTTTCGAAGTTGCATCAATACTTTTCGTGTCAAAAATTATTAGATGACAAGCTCTTTCTAGGACATCTTTTGGTGTATCAGCTCGTTCAGTCCTTCTTTTATAGGTCCTCATTGTACTGTAACAAAATGAATATTAAAACACGAATAAAAGTTAATTTACGAGATATTTTAAACTTCAAATTATATTATACTGCCATCAACTTAAGAAGTAATACTTGAAATATTATCAATATGCACTCACGAAACACTCTGACTAATAGGCAAATGGTTAACATAAAATGGGTATGTGTCAGATGGAAACATATGCAATATAAAAATATTACTTACATGATACAAAAACAAATCACGTGTCACTGCTCGAAAATGGCGTGCATCCGCGACGTGGCGCTCCGGACGACTGAGCGGGGGTCGGAGAGTAATGCGCGACTGGGCCTGGATGACGTAATACTCATATCGTTGACGAGTTTTTGGCGGTTAGTCTCCCTACCCCTATAGTCAACCATCCCCGGTCTCCCCTACATAGTTCGACACGGTAGGATGGGAGGCCGAAGTCAGGCGGGTCTGTCTGGCAGGCACAACATGCGGCGGTATCATGGAGGAGAGCTCTGAGGAGCTAAGCCCATTGGCGTAGCGATAGAAGACAGCTAGGTCGCCGACGGCCCACCGGTGCGAATGGGCCCTGGGCTGTCCATTAGAGAAGAGTTCTCAATTACTCGGACAGCCCTCCTCTGATCAGCATCGAGTATGGATAATGTAGTCGGGGCGGCAGCACCCTACACATGTAAGTAAAACTCGAGGCTAGGTCTTGTCTCTGTCTTGTACAGATTGAGGAAACCACTTCTTAGCCCTAAACAAACAGGCTTGCTTTTTTATAGCAGCAATTTAGGAACGGGACTACCGACCAAAATTGAATCTAAATTGGACGTTCCAGGAACCAAGTGTGCTATTAGAGCGTCCACCCATGCTGACACTATGCATAATCAGCGGACGTTGTTTAGGATGTCCATTCGTAACCTAGAGAACTGGCGTGTGTAAAGTCTATGCCCCCCGTGACATTATTTGAACATTTTGCAAGTAATTCATCTGAACCAGCTGACGTGGCATGACCAGACCAAATACCATGCAGCAGTATGACGCATAGAGGAACAGTAGACCGATGAGTCAGCCTTTGCCGGCAACCACAATACAGGACATGATGATCCTTATCTGAGGATGAGACTCCTGCTCCGTGATATAGGTAACTACGTGTTACGTGATGTAATTCGTTTATGTGTGATGCATACGTTGCCAACACATGGTAACTGTCTTATAGGACATCAGACAGTACTCGCAATTGAAACGGTCGTTTCAAAAACCACTTAAGATATCTTTTATCCAACGTGTTTTTACTGAAAATGCTTCATTAAAGGTAGGTGCGTATTCTGGGTATACACGTCGTAAGTAACTACATCGTAAGTCCGGGACCTAAGTGGTTTATGCATGTATTATGCGACTGCGGGTAGTAGTAGTAGTCGTCTTTATTTAGAAACAAACTAACTGAATGGTGAAGTTCAGCATTCGCTACTCTTACACATAACCCATCAGTTAGTGTTTGAAGACATATATAAAACAAAAATATCAGAAAACGCATAAATCTGAAATCGTAATACATCTGATATATAGAACTGGTATCATTAGCCTTTCGTTACGGAGCCAATTATTGAATGTCGGCGAAAAAAGAGCTTTAATGACTTCTAATGTGAGTCGTGGAAATTTGACATTTGACTACTGAGTCATAACAGGTTGCTTATTTGTTTCGAACTTGAGGTGAAGCCAAAAAAAACTCTGTTCAATTTTTTCTAGAAACATTTTGGTAATATTCGTATTTGTGTCCAGGCTGGAACATAAATATGGTTAGAATTATAGAACCACAGAAGGACAAATGACTACAAAACCAGCAGCACTCCAATAAAAGGTAGCCATGGTAAGTTGCATATACAGGTTGTTTCAAATTAGACCCTCACCATTGGGATCTCGGAAACTGTAAGATATACTAAGTCGCCCAAATGGGGAAAAGTTCCGCACTTAGGTAATCAACAAAGTGCCGGAGGGAAGCGAAAGAAAGGAATTTTCCCAAATGGCTGTAATTCTTTCCTGACTTTATTTGTGGCGGGATTTCAAAATAACTTGCACATTAACATTATTATTTTTTCTCCTCTCCAGCATCAAGTTTATTTTTTCTTATGGACGACGTATTGGATTTTTCCTCAGCTGAATAGTTTTTAATTCCAAAAATGTATAATACGATACGTAACGTGACTATACGTCCCGCTTTTGTCGGGACAGCCCAGCTTTCAGGCTGTCTGAACCGGTGTCCCCAGCGAGACCGACTTAGTCCCGTTTTCGCAAATAGACCAAACAATAATTTAATATTTTCAACTTTGCGACATACGAAAAAATCTCTGGCTGAAATGCCGAGCATGTTTCTACTGAAAACCGTTGGGTCGAATTATTCCAGGACTTCCGTACCAACAATCTTCATTTAACAAACATTTTCACAGTTATTGAGTACGTTTTGCGTCTACCTGGGAGTAACGCACCTGTCGAAATGAACAAAATATGGTGTCACGTGCTAAAGTCACGTGACCTTTTTTGGGATACTAACTCCCCAAGCACCAGTTTATGGAGTAGTACTCTTTTATTTTGTACCTTACGTTTAGTTGTTTTGGTTTGGGTCTACCCCGTCCATCTTCGAATGGGATTTTAACCTCCAGTGGTAAGTTTTCTTTTGTATACCATCGGACTATGTCCATTAATGCTTCTCCTGAAGAAGTTTGTTCAATATCTGATTCCTTTTAGTGGAAAGCCATTGTGGAGTACCACCATTCAAACGCCTCCAGCTTTATTTTGTAGCTGCTTTGTAGCTGTTTCGGAGCCGATTTTGTTGGAAGCCATCTCTTCCCCTTGATAAAAGACCCTGATGTGAACAGGTAAGACATCATTTTAATTGGGTATTTTATAGATATTAATATATTGATTGTTGCTGACTGAAATTCTTAAAGTGTTCTTGATTTTGTTTGGCATTTTACGTATTCAAATATAGGGTAGTGTCTACATGTCACTGTCTTTTGGGCTGTTTGTATTACATTAATCATGATTTTGAATTTTGAGCTGCCATAACTTATTTTAGAACAAAATATACGTTTCTGAGGGTGTATCACTTTGTAAATTTTTATCTTTTCTTGCCCTTGCAGAAAGAAAAGTAGTTTTCTTGTAAAAGAAAATTTACATGGATTTTTCTTCAACTTTTGAGTCTGTTAAATGTGTAGTTCTGTCTCAGACATAGAGTAGAGAGTAGATTGGTTGTTTTTAAACCGTAAATTTTTTGAACGAGCCAAGCAGCCCCTACCTTGTAACGTTCTTAACGTCACTGCTCACTACTGGCCACTGGTCTTTGACCTGACGACCTGACCTTTGTAAGCTGTGGACATCTCAGCTGTACCTAGAGCTGTAACTGGAAGAAGACCATTATCCAGATAAGTTTAGGTTTAGGCGTTAAACTATTTGTAAGGCCTATATTTGTAAAGCCTTTGCATGTGTATCATGGTAAACGTTTTGCAGGGTTAGTTATTACAGTCTAATAATTTTATTGTCAAGTAGTATTGAATAACATCTTTTCTTTTAACTTGCATTCCAGTGGGCGAGTATATGTGCTGCTTGTTTTGGCAATATATTGTGATTCGTTTTTAATATCTTGTTTTATTTGGTTCTCTGTATACAGTTAATTAGGTTTCGTCATTACTATTAGACTCTTTTCATTGTGTGATGGTCAGGCAAAACAAGTTTCGACCAACAACTCGGGGATTTGTGACTTAATCCGTCTTGAGTCACTGGCGTCCTTAACCCTCCCCCTACTCTCCGATTTATTGAGCTAGTGCCTAAATTTGTACGCCAATTGACAGCTGTTTTGCATTGGCCGACCTTTAGATCTCATTTATAGTAATTTATTAATTCATTAATTAAATTAATTAAAAAAAAGAAGGAAAGAGGAACCACATCACCGTTTCTTCTTATTTATAAAAAAGGCGTGGCAATGGACAAGTGATAAAACACAGTTGAGTGTCGCAGTAATGAGAGCTGTTTTGATTACAAAGATAAATATACACAAATCATGTACTGAGTTCCACACTTATCTAAAACAAGACCCGATATTTTGAAACAAATTTGTTCAGCTGACATATAGAAAAATACGACTTAAAGGTCACGCCACTACTGGGGCCTAGTAAGTCGTGCCTACTCAACTATTTTGTGTTTATTGTCTTGATTATTTTGTGATATTCCATCTTGTATAGTAGAAAACTTGTAAAACACTAAAAGCTTTTTTTATTATACAATTCCGCTCTGGCAGAAAAATAAATGGTCACGTTAATAACACGTCATGTATTGACAATACCAAAACTCAGTTAATTCGCCTACCAGGTTTATCCCAAAATCACTTTTATTTTTTCCTGATTTTATTTGAGATAGGATGTCAAACTAACTTGCATGTAGTATAATTGTTACTTAGGGCCTCATCGTCAGTCGTTCCGACAATATTGTAGGACGCCTTTATGGCCTTGTTGATTTTCGTTGGTTTTCCAGTGTTTCACTGTTTCGTGCAAGCCCCGTATTTTAAGGTTAGATTTTCTTCTTGAATTCCAAGGTGCTTCAGGGTGATAAAACTTGAGTTTTATCATCTGTTTTATTAGCCCAAAATTTCTTAAGATTCAAAAAGAAAACATAAGCTTACAATATGAGATTGCTGACGCTGACATGGAACAATAGAAATCTAGAAATACCCCAGTTTTTCTAAAGGGGAGAAAATACTATGAAAATCTAGGAGGCCATAAAGGCGTCCTACAACTGGCGATACGGCACTACGTAACAATTTTACTACATGCAATTTATTTTGAAATATCTTCTCAAATAAAATTACGAAAAAGTGGAAGTGAATTTGGGATAATCAAAATGTCCGTCATTCTGTAGGCAAAGCTTGAATCTTCTCTGTACATTGTTCCCTGCTTGATTTGTTTCTTCTCAGTCTTGCAAACTCGTTCAATGTGCAATGTTCAATTTGAGGTATACGAAACAAACAAATCTAAAAATTTCAAGGCCTATCTAGGAATATTTGTTTCTCTGAAATAACTAAGGTTTGGTAATGTCAATGTATAACATATTATTAATTTTTGAAATTAGAATTAAAAATTCTATTCATCCGCGCTAAAATTCAATATGGATAAGAACAAACAAAAATGCTGGAGGACAAGAGACGAAATGTCATATCGGAATTCTAATTATGCCATATTGCATCCCCGTTTTTCCCGTCTCTCTTGAAGTACAAGGTGGTCCCCGGGAGCGGGAAGTTTTCATAATGTTGTTATTCCGCTATGCATA